AACATATTGACTCTATACAGTGTACCCCCCATATAGAAGTACCCCGGGTACAAATTTAAATTATGAAAATACCCGGGTACCTGGGTCCGATTTTTACGGTACTTATTAAACTGCCTTCTGTGCACTAACAAAAAGGGTTTCTTGTGAAATTTTTGGTTTTATTATGATAAAGTCTTTCTAATAGAAAAATATAACACTAATCTTATACTATTATAGCGAAATTTTTAGGTAATGCTAGGAGAGTTAAAATAATTACTTTACATACAAATCATACTAACAAAAGTTTGACCGGTATTTATCAATCGACAACTTTTACTACATTTGGAGCTATAGTTTAGTTTTAAAAAGTATACCAAGTACTGATAGTTTGGCCAGCGCTATTCTGCTACATAAAATTACGAAAAATTACTGGCGTTATAATACGTATAATTTAGACCGACTTGATAATAAAATTATTTTGTGTAACTGAATTTTGTCAACACCCGTTGGCCAATAGAGTATCTTTTTTCTTGGGAAAAGCTAGATTATGCGTGTTTCTTTAAATTATGCAAATCGAATATTTTATGCGCTATAAGGCAAATTATGCCGGATCATAATCCTGGGCACTCTTGTTTATGAGTGCCGCCAAGAGAAAACCTGCAAATCTTATCTGATAAGATTTGCAGGTTTTCTCTTGGCGGCACTCATATAGTTAAATTTGAATAAATCAAGTGATTACAAAGTTAACCAATAATATTAAATATTGATTTAACTAATTGATTAGAAAATTTTTGCCAACTTGATAAAATATACAATACCTAATTGCGGGACAAGTCTGGCCATTAACCAGTTTGTGCAAACTGGCATAATTTGCCAGTTCCCTGGATTGGGAAGATGGCTGTATCAGTACGTAACTTTTGCGTAGATCATGCTCATACAATTTTTAAAATGATGGAAAGTTCTAGAAAAAGCCAGATTGTTATTTCTGCATTTGAAAAATTTTCAACTTTATTTTCTGCATCATTATATATTATTTTCTAAAAGTATAAATAGACAATATTTTTTAATGCACATATGTTTTAAAGTTCCGAATTCCCAAAAATGATGGATGGTGTAGAATTTGGATATCACCCAAAATATGGTCTTGCCTTATTTGCAACTCGTGATTTCCAAAAAGGAGAAATCCTCTTATCTGAAAAACCTCTTATAATTTCTCGAGCCCTAACCTCTAAACGTGATAAAGCCTTCGCTTATACTTATAACCTTGATTTAGATGTCTTCTCAACCTTCAAAGCATTCTTTGACTCTTCAACAGAAATACAAAATATCATTTTAAATAATTTTTATCTTCCATCAACTCAAGAATCAATGAATGTCGCTTGGTCGCAAGTTGGTTCTACCAGTGTGGATAGAATAATTGATGTCTGCCAAAAGCACGTTCAAGCGTGGTCGAATGTTAATCGCGACATATTTAAGAAAGTATTTTTGGTTTTTACCTTCAATTCACATGCTTTTGGATCGGATAATTCACCTGCTATTTTTGCAATTGGAAGTAAGATGAATCATTCATGTGAAGAAAATACATTTTATCAGTCTATTGATAATCAAGTTGGTATTCATACAGTTGCTAGAGAAATTCGGAAAGGTGATCAAATAACCACCAATTACCTTGGGAAGGATACGATTTTCTCAACTGACACAAGGCAAAAAATCCTTCAAAGAACGAAACTATTTCAATGTGATTGCCCACGGTGCACGGAAAAACTGGATATATCACGCGGACTTCCTTATCCAAATAATTGCCCAATGGGTGGATATATTTATTGGCATCCAATTCCTACTCCAAATGATAGACAAAGTCATTGGATTTGTGACACATGTAATTTCAGAATTGATAACAAAAATCCTTACCTTAAAGAATTATTAGTCAAGGAAAAAGACATAGAGCAACAAATAATCGTTCTTAATGAGAGACTAAGCAACAGCGACATTAGTTTCGTGAATAAATCACAATTACTAGACTTACATAATGCTTGCTTAGGCCAACTTGGGTCACGTCATTGGACGTACATTCTAGTTCTCAAAATGTTGATACTTTTTGACGCCACCCAATTATCAAATGAAAAATATCATAATAAAATATCTATGATTAAAAATTTTGACCATGTATTGAATTGGTATGAGAAAGGCGGATTTGATATTCCAAGATATTTAAGTTCATTTATATTGCACGTTGCAAACGTCCTTTTTTACATTGAGGATTATTATAATAGTTTGCGCTTTCTTGAAAAAGTTTTCAAGGATTTTCCTTATGATAAAACGTTTTCACATGAATACAAAGAAGCTATTGATTTAATGGAGAGGTGCCACAAGGCATTGGATGAATCTGTTTCATGCCAAGAAAATAAATTACTTATGGAACAAAGTTGTCAATTGCTTAAAACTGAATTATAAGAGGACAATATGTTGGTGGTATAGTTATAATGAAAGCATAACTTGAGATTTATGTATAAGATATTGGTCATGCAACGATTAATATCATGAAATTTGTTTTGTCGGAGCAAATGGTTGGCTGACATG